AGACAGTGGGGAAGAAAGGGGATTAGTCCGGGAGTCTGGAGAGGACTCAGACGAGGGTCCTGCATCTGATGCAGAGATGGAGCCATGACCATCTGGGAGTGGGGTCCTGCACCCGGAGCCTCCAGAGTCTGCCAGCAGCGAAGCAGGGGACACAGGGGGGCCTGTTCCTAGTGCGCATGTGTGCAGAGCTGCTAGAAGGTGAGAGCAGCTAAAACAAAAGGGGCGACTCAGAAGTAAGGCTGGGAGGTGATTGCCCCTCCCGTAAAGTATAAAGGACAGGAAAAGATGATGAAACCTTTGCAGGAAGCAAAGTAGTTTGTTCCGTTCCGATTCATTCTTGAAGCTCTTTGTACTTCGGTTGGTTTTTTTCCCCTAGTTCATTCAATACTTCTGTTACTGACAGAAAAGAAAGGTGGGTGCTTATCTTGAGGGAATGTTTGAAATTCATTACCGGCTGGGAATGAAAACAATTCCCAGTGTTGCAATAAAATAAGACTTGTTTTTAAAATAACGTGTGCGTAATTACGGTCTAGGAAGCCTTGGTCAGAACATTTAGCTAGGATGTTGTTTACTGTTTGATTGTTTGTCTGGGCAATTGATTGGGGTGTTGTTTAGGACTAGGTTTTAGTCTAGTGTTAATCTTGGTGTTAATCTCTGCTTATTTGGTTGCTGATTACTGGCAAGGAGGTGTGTTGGTATTTGTTTCCTTAAACTAGTCTGGCAGGATGCAGCTTTATACTGGGGTTCAGTTGCTCGGGTAAAACTGAGTTGTATGACTACTACAACCAGCGAGAAGAAAAGAAGAGGCTGTACATGTTCATCTTTATTCCCTTTTCCCTGGGATTGAATCTTAAGAAAGATTATAGTTGAAACTGGGTAAAGCCATTTGGTAGCATTCTTTTTGTGGTGGTTTAACAAGATGCCAGTATCTCATATTGGAGGCATATGTCACAAACGAGGGAATTCTACACGGATGTAAGATAGTGACAGAATGAAGAATGTGCTTTGGTGAACATGTGTGCTGCATGAATGAGCAATGTCCAGCAAAGACCACAATCAATTGGATACCGCCAAATGGTAAGAGAAAAAGTGGAATGTCAAAAAACAAAACAAAACCTGGCACCAAATATTTCAGGAAGATTTCAACCTTAAATGGAAGGGATACAAAGGCTGTAGCTTAAGATATTCTGCAGCCTTTGAAGATCCCTACTCTAGCCTGCACCACTCATAGCAAAAGCACTTAGAGTTATATACCGTGGTGGTGCAGTGGTTAAGAGTGCAATATTGCAGGCTACTTCTGCTGACTGCCAGCTGCCTGCAATTTGGCAGTTCGAATCTGAGCAGGCTCAAGGTTGACTCAGCCTTCCATCCTTCCAAGGTTGGTAAAATGAGGACTCAAATTGTTAGGGGCAACAGGCTGACTCTGTAAACCACTTAGAGAGGGCTGTAAAGCATGGTGAAGCGGTATATGCTATACTGCTTCACCGTGCTTTAGAGCCCTCTCTAAGTGGTTTACAGAGTCAGCTTCTTGTCCCCAACAATATGGGTCCTCATTTTACCAACCTTGGAAAGGATAGAAGGCTGAATCAACCTTGAGCCTCTCAGAATTGAACTCCTGGAGTAAGCACTGAGTTAGCCACATTCTAACCACTGCACCGCCATGGCTTTATAGTCTATATAGAGCAGGGGTCTCCAACCTTGGCAACTTTAAGACCTGTGGACTTCAACTCCTAGAATTCTGGAAGTTGAAGTCCACAAATCTTAAAGTTGCCAAGGTTGGAGACCCCTGATATAGAGCTCCATTCCATATTCCACATCTTTGAGTCATACTGCTTTTGAGGCAATAGCTGGCTCCTCTGGTAATAATTCTCAGCAGGTGGCCTCTAATTATCATCCTCCTGCCCTAATTCACAATTATTTCTCGTTTTAGAGGTGTCTTTGGCTCTAAGGTGCTGAGTTGTTCCATTTTCACTAACATTTTGTTATACTTCTACTAGCTCGATAGCCGTGCTTCACTACGAAACTATGTGGTGGGACTTAATGTTTGGGGAGGAAAATAAGGGGGAAAAATTCTACCTCTGCCTACCAGCATCCATCGGTATTCATCTGGTTAGCATCCTGTCAGTGTGTGAGAGAGTCGAGGGCTGTTTGGAAACTGAAACAGTATTTGCTGTGTGAGAAAGAAGGAGACAGCAAGTAGCCTGGGCGTGGCTTAACTCAACTGTTCTGTACTAAAGTTGCTTGGTGCTGTGAAACTGAAACTGAAACTCCTATTTTCTGCTTGCGTTTTGCATTTGGAACAGATTTCTTTTCAGGGGGGGAGGAGGAGTAGAACTCCTTAGCATCAGAGCCAGTGGTGGATTCAATTTGTTTTTATTACCTGTTCTGTGGGTGTGACTTGGTGGGCGTGGCAGGGGAAGGATACTGGAAAACCTCCAGTCAGAGGTGGTATTTGCTGGTTCTCCGGACTACTCAAAATTTCCGCTACCGATTCTCTAGAACTGGTCAGAACCTGCTGAATACCACCTCTGATCAGAGCATGTTAACAATAATATACAAAATACTAATGCTCTTTTTTCATTTCAAAAAATCCTTTCTTAGTGAGCACCTAGAAGCCAAGAGGAACATACATGCAAAATTTCAAGTTTGTAGGCTTTAAGGTTTTGGAGATTTTGTGATGATGTGTGAGTGGCATTTTGCTTATATATGTATAAATTACTTTACTATCATTTATTTCCATGTCATGTGGGCTTCATTTTATCACATAATAAGCTGGAGTTTATATCGGCAAATATATCAAATGAGCAGCAGTTGTCTAAGCCGTGTTATGTGCGTGACTTTTTGATCATGAGTCCTAACTTCTTGAAATATTCTCCAACAGCCCAAATTTAATATTAAATGGATGGATAATGCTCATAGGCATAAGAGCAATCCAAGGGTAAATTCTGAATTGCTGTGACTAAATAGCAAGAGTTTTTAACACCTTTTTTTTTTACATCAAAGACCTTTTTTTTTTTTTTACTTTGCCAGTACTTGAGGGGCTGTCACAGAGAAAAGGGAATCAGTTTATTCTCCAAATCACTTGAGGGCAGGATAAGAAGCTCATTAAAGAGAGATCCAAGCTGGAAAGAAGGAGAAACTTCCTGACAGTGAGAATGATTACTCAATGGAAAAGCTTGTCTCCTTGAGTTGTGGGTGCTCCACTGCTGGAGGTTTTCAAGAAAAGGTTGGACATCTATTTGTCCAAATGGTATAAAGGGTTGGACTACAAGGCCTCCAAGATCCCTTTCACCCTTTTGCTCCATTCCATTCCATTCTCTGTAGCCAAGATGCCCGTATCTATAGTTGTTTTAAGAATTAAAAGAGCAACTCTATGATTCTGCTTCTGTATAAACATCATTCTCCATTATCTTGATGCATAATTTTTTCCCAACTTAAAAGAAGGCCTGGATTAAAGCAAATTTTCAAAATGATGTTTTTTTGATCCAACCCACATATCAAAGTAAAAAACAAAATAATGAACACAGAGCAACTACACTTTTTAAAGAACACACAACCATGCACAGACACACAAATAGAGTATCTATGTCAAAATCAAAATCATTTGCCAGGTATTGAAGATCTTGGCACAAATGTAAAACAATGTCATGCTTCTCGTTATTTTTTTGTTTTTTAAAAGACTTTGAGACCTTGAGTTTTTGAGATGCTTCCTGTGTCAGTACAAAATTCCTGTGTTAATACAATATTTAAGACAATTGTTGGGATTCAGGATGATCATCATCATCAATCATCATCATCATCATCAATCATCATCATCTGGCATTATTAAATTAGTCAGAAGACAACAATGCAATTGCAGAGTAGTAGTTTAGCTGCCAAAGTACCAGCTCTGTTGTAGGAAATGCTCTCATGCATCCCATAGTGTACCACATGAAGGCGAGCTGGCTTCACCCCAGAAAGAAGACAAGTAATTCTTCCTAAAGCCATTTGTGCCGGCATGCGAGCTGCAGGCAAACTTACCTCACTGTGCATGCGTGCACCTCACAGCTCATTTTCAGCGGGTTTGAGGCCTTTTTCCCAGAAGCTTGAGGAAGGCTTCTGCAGGCGCTTTGCAGGCCGAAAACTAACCCCGTTTCATCAATTCCTGTTTTTCCGACAATACCGGAAGTGATGAAATGGGGCTAGTTTTTGGCCTGCAAAGCCTACAGAAGCCTTCCTCAAGCCTCTGGGAGTCCAAATAAGGCCTCAAACCAGCCGAAAATCAGTTCTGAGATGCAGTGCATGTAAGGGGGCGGTGGGGGTGGGGGTGTGTGGAGATTGTGCACACATGCGTAGGGGACGTGGAGGGACACGCGTTGCCTTCTGGGTGCTGGCACACGAGCGCGAGCGTGCAAGCGTGCATACAATTTTTGGCACAGGAGCCCAAAAAGGTTAACCACCACTGTCCTAAAATATCATCCAAGGCCACCTTCCTCCCTGGAGCTGTTTCACAAATGAGCATCACAACCAGGAAGGTTCAGAGCTGGTAGGAATCTGACTGACTGCATGGAGCACCAGCTCATCTCCCGCCCTCCCAACAAAGTACCTATTTTATCTACTTGCATAGAACATGCTTTCGAACAGCAAGGTGGGGAGAAGCTGAGCTGAGTGATGGGAGCTCATCCTGACATGCAGTGCTAGGACTCGAACTGCTAGAGCAAAAACCATCTCCAGCATCATTAAGCCACTGAGCCATCAGACCTTGGACTACTCACATGTATTATACCGGAGCACTTTTTCCCCCCATTAGTACTCTCTCGTTATTTGAACATATATTTTGGTTGGGGAGAAATGCTCCTATAGCTACAGTCCCAGTTGTAAATACATTACTTGGTTTAAGATACTGAACGTGTGCTAGGATGATCAGAAGGGAACATACATGAATGAATGAATTAGTTAATTAATTAATTAAATTTGCATTTTCTTTTATGCACTTTAGGTGAAACAACCCTTCTTTTGAGGGATATATTTTTCAGAGAGTGGTAGCCTTAAGAATATAGCAGGAGTCCATCTGTAGCTTTACTTTCTAGATTTTTTTTGCCTTTACTACTCAATATCAGCCACAAGCAACTTTTTAGGCTGTGTATAAACTGCGTAGGTATTTTATTTATATCAAAAATCTTTGAACGCAAACAAAAAACAAAACAAAAAAACAACAACTTCAAATAAATATTTTAAAACAACTCAGAAACTCTACAAATGCTTAAAGCTTTTGAAATACATTAACCATTAGAAGAAGAAAAAGCTGGTGTCTTAAACATAATGCAAGGTAGACAATGTTGGCCTCTGAAATTTGGTGTATCAGATGAATGCTTTCAACATTGTTGTTCCCAGTACATTGCAAATGACTGTGTTACTATTAAATTATAGAGAAAAGTTTCAAAAACTCCAAAAAGAGAAGAATGTTTAAATGTATGTTTCCCTAAAATTGATATTATTGCAAAAAACAACAATAGCAACAACCTCTAATAGACTGCACTTCTGGGAGAATTTTTCCATAATACACATGAACAAGTTTATGCTGCAAACAGCATCGGAAGAAAAAAGAAAATAGAAAATGTGTAAACTTTGGCATATAATTGTGTTTCTATTTGCATATAAATTCAGGAACTGAAAGTCAAGCACCTTTGCATTTAAATGCCAGCTTAATAAATTTCTTCCACATAATGATTAAGAGTAAGCAAGCCTCCGCATACTACCCAGTTCACAGGTGTGTATGTGTGTTTATCAGCGAAAATTTGTACACATCACACAGCCGACTTAAGAGAACTGTACAAAAGTTGGAGCAACAATGGAAGCGGTACTCCAAAGTCCTTAATTTAAATATTTAAATTATTTAAGTGTTCTCCAAGGAACCAGAAAGCAAGACAAGAAACAATGAAGGGAAACTAATCAAGGAGAAAAGCTATCTAGAACTAAGGATAAATTTCCTGACACTTAAAACAATAAACCTGTCAGGTATGGCTCCATTCAAAATCCAAGAAAGAAAACCTTAGACTCCATTTTTATAGAGAAAATGACTTTTACTGAATATGAAGTGGTAGCAACAGAAGAAATAAAAGGTCTGAAGCAAAAGGCATGGAAATTACATATAGAAAGTTATCCCATGTCCCCACCCCCAATAATTCAAACTGGACATCCAATCTGAGGTGTGTATAATGTCATGTGGGGACATCTTCAGGTGGCTTCTCACACATCTGGTATGCCAAGACGGTTGACTTTGTCCTAGAAAAAGATAAGTGGCTGCATTTGCGCAGTAAGTAAGTAAGCATCCCAACTTTTACAATTCACACAACTTCAACCTCCAGCACCCTTCCCCCCACGAGGCCCAATTATTCCTCCCCCCCACCCACCCCGTTTCTATGGCAGCCGGAAAGAGTCAAGCAGAAATCATGGAGGTTGGCAAAACCAGTGGAATGGCTTGTCTTCATAAATTGTGGTTGCTTCAACACTGGAGGTTTTTAAGAGATTGGACAACCACTTGTCTGAAATGGTATAGGGTTTCTTGTTTGAACAGAGGGTAGGACTAGAAGACCTCCGAAGTCCCTTCCAACTCTGTTATTCTGTTATTTAGTTCAGTCCTCAAAGTTAGACACTTGCTGTTCTATTTTATTATTATTAATTTTTCTTATTAAAGTATGCCTCCCTTTGTGTGGAGTTTTATTTCCTTTATAGGTCTATCCTGGCTGGAGGCTCGGAGTGAGCAATTGGAGAAGGTTATATCAAATCAATGTTGCAGTACATTAGTGTTACCATATTCCTGGAATAAATTCAGCAGTTGTTTAGCTTTGAGCCTACAGAGAGCTGGAATTCAATACCAAGAAGGAAGGAAAAGGTATCTATAACAGCTCAAGTATGTCATAAAGATCTGCAGCTTATGTTACTTCAGGCAACAATGGCTGCCTTTTGTTTTGGGTATTTTGACAATGCACATAATTCAAAAGAAGCCTGCATTCACTAATAGTTTGTTACATCTACTATAAGTAGCGGATAATAAATAGCTTTATTCTGCTGTAGCATGCTTAGTGTTCTGGTAATGTTGCTCCTTTTAATGGACAGTAAAAAAAGCTATTTACTTTTATGAGTAATGAGTGAAAGGCAACCTCACTTTCTTTGGTGCCTTTTTTAAAAAAATGAATTACCATATCTTATTATAATTGGGGTGGGGGGTGATAAGTAGGTCAAGCATAATGAAACAAGGAAAAAAATGAGATACTCTTCAACTTATGACTGTAATGGAGTCCAGAATTTCAGCCGTATGTAATGATGGTCATAAGTCAAAGCACCCATGTGTGAATGACCCAATTTTGCAACCTGTTTTGGGGTTGTTAAGTTAACGCCATGATTATAAGAGGCCAGTTTCAAAAAAAATAACTTTGTAAATCAGGTCACGTGACCATGGGACACTGAAATGAATCAGAAAGGTTGGCATGGACCTGAAATGCAGTCACATGACTTTCTCTGTCTCTCTGTGTGTTGTGGTTAGCCGGCAGCAGGTGCGGACGGTGGAAGACAGCGAGGACTCGGATGAGGGGCTAGGACCATCAGGGAGTCGACTGCTGCCTTCAGGGATGGTGGGGGCTGGCACCAGTGATGAGGAGGTTCCTGAGGGGCCTGTGCCAAGTACGCGTGAGCGCAGGATGATTCGTAGAAGAGAACAGCTGGAGCAGCACAGGCGACTCGGGAGTAAGGATGCACCGTAATGGCCCCTGCCTCCAGGGAATATAAGCCTGGTTTTAAACGGTTTTTGCCAAAGGCAAAAACTTTGGAAGGACTCAGTGTGTGATTACAGACTCTGATTTATGTGAATACTTCTGCCAAGGTTTTCCTAATTGGACTACTTGGCTACAAGCCATCTGTTATCTACAAAAAAAGGTTTATTTGTAAATTAAAGCCATGAAATTTTGAGTTATTGAGTTTATCTGTGTTTGCTCTCGAAGACTTCGCCTAGGTCAGAACACTCTCTCTTTCTCTCTCTCTCTGTCTCTCTCTCTCTCTCTCTCTCTCTCTGTCTGTCTCTCTCTGTATGGAACCAAGTCGGAAATACCTTTTGGGTTCCCCCAATGGACGAATGGCTGCAAAAGTTGATGGAATTAGCAGAGATGGCTAAATTGATTGTTTTGATGATTGAAAAGAGCACAATTTTGTTTCTACTCGGAAACCGCTTCTGGACTTTGTGCTTGAGGTGGGGAAAAAAAATGAAACTTAGATTTTGGGTTTTGCTGATTAGATAGGTTTGTTGTTATAGAAATGGCTGGTATATATATTATCATATAAAAGTAAAAAGTTGAGGTTTTATGTTACTACCTTATTCTTCTGCATCAAAGGAAGTCAATGCTTTTCTTTATCTTTTCCCCTTTCCCCTGTTCAACATGGGTGTTGATTCTTGGCAACCACATAAACAAGATCTTGTTCTTTGACAATAGAAATCTACCCTTACCTACCCTGGCCCTTCAGTTTAAAGTCCCTCTGCAATCTTGGAAATGTAAATGCATGTGTTTTGAATTTTACTTTACTGAGAATGTATTTGGAAACTATGAATATAAACTAATCAAGGAGAAAAGCAACTTAGAACTAAGGAGAAATTTCCTGACAGAACAATTAACCAGTGGAATAACTTGCCTGCAGAAGTTGTGAATGCTCCAACACTGGAAGTTTTTAAGAAGATGTTGGACAACCATTTGTCTGAAGTGGTGTAGGGTTTCCTGCCCAAGCAGGGGGTTGGGCTAAAAGACCTCCAAGGTCCCTTCCAACTCTATTCTATTTCTATTTGAGTGCGTATTTTGCAATGCTGTCTAAGATAGGGCCAGATTCCCAGGCAAACACAGCTTACCCCGAAAACAAGAGAACAACCTTGAGGGGCTCAACATGTACTGAGCAAGCACTGAGCATAATAGGAAACAGAAGTTATTTTTAGTGGAACAATCATATATACATTCCACACACATTCTTGAAAGTCATTTGTGGCTCTTGTGTGCATTGATACAGAAGCACCACTTAACCGAGTCTTCCTACCAGAAAGGCATGATTGCAAGTTCTATAAAAGGTAAAGGAGTCCCTGCAGATTTTACTCTGTTAGCCGTTGTTGACTGTAGGGGGCTGTGCTCATCTCTGTTTCAAGGCTATTGAGCCAGCTATGTCTGAAGACATTGCTGAGGTCATGTGACAAACATGACCTCATGGAGCACTGTTACCTTCTCACTGAAGTGGTACCTATTTATCTACTTGCACTTTCATGCTTTCGAACTGCTAAGTTGGAAAGACTTGAGGTGAGGACAGGAACTCACCCCATCAGTGTTGCTTGGGTCTCAAACCTGGGCTGCAGGCTTTTTAAGCCAACAAGCCCAGTGTCGTAACCGCTGAGCCATCACACCATCCACTGGGAGTTCTACACTGGCACACATTTTATAATGGTATGTGTGAATGACCTTGGGAGACAAGGGGAAGAACTGCAGCATAAATAACCCTTTGATAAATGAAATATGAATCCTATGGAGGAGGGGGTGGTGAAAGTACTCTCAGAAGGAACTCTCCTTAGGTTTGATAGAGTAAATGTAGGGGATGGGAAGTATACTTTCAGATTTGCAAGATTCTATTAAGGTAACCATATAGCAAAGATAGAGGAACACAGGCAGAGATAAATATACTGCAGAAAGCACAGCTCCACAATACAGTCCTTTCAGCAGTTCCAAGAAGGCTCCACACCCATTTGCACTACTCAGGTGACCCTGAGGACACAGACAAACCTCCAAATGGCCTCAACAACTCTCTAAAAGAATGCAAATGACCAGCTGTCTTCAAGGTATATAAATCCTTCCATTCCCCACCATCCAGTCAGAGCTGAAGAAGCTTCTCTGGATGAGAAGCAAAATGTCTTCAAAGAAAAAACAAGAAAGTCCAGGTGCCTTCTGAAACAGCACCTTTGGGACAACCACAACCTGGATGACTGAGAATCGCCATAGAAAAAGATAGA